ACAATAATGGAAACTGACGAATTAATTTGCTAGGTAGCTGATTTGCGATAAAATGCAATAAACGACTGACGACACGGTTGGCATTAAACATTTCCTTCCCGCCATTTGTGCTTCTGACCCAATTCATGACCTAAAACACTTGTTGGACACCAACCATATGTAGCCTGAAAAGATCTTCACATGGTAGGCTTAAGACCTGACTTTTAATCTGGTCGGAATTCGACGCCAGTTACTGTGTTAAGCCAACAGAGACTAGATTTGAAAACAAGCAAAAGTACATAGTGCACTTCGCCGTTCAAGGTACTTCCTATTTACATAATTTATGTTGGCCATGCCCTCATTCATGACCGACTCTGATACCTGTGACGGATTCGGGATAGTTTTCAATCACATCCTACCTAGACTCATGTCCTCTCTTATCAGGTGCCACATTTTACAACAACCAGAAACTTGATAAAGGCCGCACTTTGCAACCTGATTCAGGGATCCATTGAGTCATGTGTCATAAAGCTGTACTCAATAATCAATCCTTGCTCTTGCGGTTAATTTTTAACTTTGAAAGTAACTGCGACCAATTTTTCCCATTTGCTTGCCAGTAACTGGAAATAAAACCCAAACCCACATTAAACTCATTCCGTGCCCATCCCTTTGTATTGTCAAAAACGGCTTTCATGATTTTTTTTTAATTTATCCACATTCATGTGGATATCGGATTTTTTTTTAATTTATCCACATTCATAGTGGATATCGTCCTATACATACATATCTATATCTTGTGCATACTGTCCAAAAATACAAAACATGCGTGGCTACCTAACAACTAATGAAAAAAAATACTCTCTTAGTGACCAAGCCGTACAATTTTCACAATGTTCGTATTTTGTAATCAAAGCACAGACGGCGGGACGTTGGAACAAGTTTTGAATGACTGGAATTCATCAACTTCATTGTGGGGACGAACAAATACATTTTGTCATGATTTCTCACGTAACAATACCCGTAACCTTGATGAAAACGCCTTAAGGGTGGGCCCAGTTCCTGAATTCATCGACTACATTTCGTAATGTAACACCTAACTGTATGTGCAGCTGAGAGCCTGCTTGCAAGCTGCGGTAGTCTTAGATGGAGTGTAATGGATCCCCAGATTATGTTACTCTTCAAGCAAATGCGCTTGATGAAGACCGCATTATGTTTTGTTCACAGCGATACCCGGGATTTTGAAGTTTATTTTCTACAACATGGCGCCATTTATCGGACTAATGAAGACCACTAGAAATGGGTGGCCTTTCATCCTTACTTTATCTTAATTTGACATTGTGAATGTCTCTGCATCCACTGTCCGTTAATAAATTATATACAGAATTGTTGGAAACTCGAGAACTAATCTCATCCCACTGGTTCTACCAATCCTGTAAGTAGGAGCTGGTTTCACTAGCTTAAATACTGTTTAGCTCAGGCGTGAGACGCTTTTGTACACCATGTTTTGTTGAAGAATGGTATAAAAGAGTACTTCAGCCTAATTATCTGATAGCACCATCTGAGTCTTCGAATGAATACCGTACCGCACACGGTCGTCTTGCTTGTCACAGTTGATAGAGGTGGCACTGTATCGCAAAATAAATGTTGTAACTAGGTTTTTCTTTTTCATCGAACCCTCAAGCGCGTTCTCTGAGAAGATATGGTGGTTTCGGTTATGCTAAATAGTAATTTCTTCCGTTTTTGAACCATTAGGGTGGACATGCACTTTTTAAACTCAGTGGCTTTTGTAAGAAAGCCGGATTTTTTAAATTAACACTCTTTGCAGTATGAAGTCAGAAACCCCGGCCTTGAATATCTACTTTTTAGATGAAACTGTTCTCCCACTCGCTGTACTCTAAATAACATATTTTAGACAAATTTGTATTTAGAGATCATTGTCGGTTCAGTTAGGACTAAATTGGAATGGACATAAGAAGAGATGACTAACTGTTTTAAACTAACTCAAAAAGAGTGAAAAATATTTTTAACTTCTTAAGACTGGATTTTGGATATCAATCATTTGGAACGAAGTAATTTTCCAGTCAGCATCTGGAACCTTTTTTATCACGGCGTGCACTATCTGACCAGATCACTACACCCACACGCTAACGGGCTGTCTGTTCCCGGTTGACTGATGGACAACCAGGCTTTGCTTATAGCCGTGCTTGCTTAAAGACCTTATAAATTTAGCAAAAATACAAGAAATGCAACATTTGCTTTAGTTCTGAAGCTGGAGTGTTTACACTTATCCCCTGCACATGCGAGGACCTACCGTACCGACATTCTTGTGGGTGCGAGATGTCACGGCAGTAATATTTGCATAAACAAAAATGTTCCAACTTCAACTATTTTCCTGATACAAAATACCCGTTTTCGGAAAGTAGTAAATGATATCCAAACTGAAATAAGGCCAAGCGAGTTTAGATTAGTTCAGAGAAGGAATGCTTTTATTTAAAAGACTTCCTTAACTAAGATCACATCCTCATTACTGAAGAACGATTATTTGTAATTTTCACTTTGAATGAAACATGACATTTAGTAAGACATCATCCGTACCCGCAAGAACGTTTATAGGTTGACCAGGTGAACGAAGAACAGTGCACGAAATAGGCGTCCACACATGATGAAGTTCCCCGAAGAAATTTGGTTAATCAAACAAGCCTATGTTGTGCACCCAGAAGGACGTGGGAGTTACTTTGATATTACCTCGGTCACCTATTCACTTTACACTTTAGTTTCACATAAACTATGCAACTATCCTAGTGATTTATTTATTTGATTTCCGTTCTGAGGTAGACGAGGTCTCAATCAGTGAAATCCTTTAACAACATCGTTGTTTATACTGTCTCGTTCAAAATGATCAGGCTTTTATAAGGCCTTAAAACGAACATTTGTTGCAAGTGAGTCCACAGCAAATATTATTTTGCTAGGACTGGTCCACTGATTGTAGTAAGTTTGTTGTAACCACGACAAAAACTGACAGCGCCAATAATTTCTGATTACCTCTTGGTAAGACACATTTTACTTATTTCTGATGCACTTCTGATCCATTTTAGTAACTACGAGCTTCTATAGAAAAAGCATACTTCTATACTTGGACACCTTTGTTTTGTTGAAGTCACGCGTTAAAAAGACTTCAGTGCTAAAAAAATCAGATGCCATATGTTGACTGGTTCCTCTGGTGGGCCGGTTTAAAAATGACGACTAAAGCCATAGTATTATCCATAGAAAATCTCTCATTCAGACAAACATGCACGGAAAATGGATGGTTTTCATGCTTTGCATCCTTTCATGTACATCTGAAACTTGGACATCTCCTAGGCATCTGTGCAAAGAGCAAAACTAAGTAATACAGAATGTCCTTGACTTACCAATACGCAATGCGCATGAGCCGTCTGCAATCAATTCCATACCTTCTTAGGGAATTGAGTGCACGTTTGCCCTTTTAATCTAATTCACTAATTAACTTAAGGCCAGTCGCGACATTTTCACGGGGTGAATACTTTAAATTCGGCAAAATATGCAAATCAGTCTATGCTTTGAGTGACCACTCCAACGAGGCTAATATGTGATTTTGTGAATTGTTGCTCAGATGGAATTTTCCAGCTTAGGTCATGTAACGATGAAGGGCAGGTGACGTACGGTATAAAGTGAAGCGTGTCTACATTCGCATTATCAAGGGAGAATACTACTTTACCGGCACTCCGTTCAATGCTAAGTGCTCGGCTCGAAAATTTAGACATCATGACTAGCTCCACTGCCGAATGCAGCCGGTGAAAAAACCTACGTTACCTTGACCTCAGCTCTCCCGATTCTTACGATACCGGGTTGCCTTCAGTTGACAATCGTTCACTGTGAGATGTGTAGACTACTAACCATCTTAATATTCATGGTACATATTTGGATATTTCTTCATTAGTACAGCTTGGCGGCAGTTCGATCACTTGTTCGCAGCGTGTGGCATTACGGTTTTCGGTCACAGTTTACTTTACATTTCATCGGTTTGGTGCTTAACTGCAACACACCAGGTAAAATGAAATGGGGCAACGAAAAATAGCACAGTAGCCTGCGCTGCAACAATTTATCAAATTGCATGGTCAACATACGCTGGTGTTTTTTAAGGCTCCCAATTTGACGGTATAAGATATTTGACGTGATGAAATGCATGTCATTAATGTAACATTCACAAAATTGTGACAGAATGTTACTGTGACCGGCCGGTGTGCACAGTCTGAGCAAATCCCATTTCAATCGATGCGCCAAACGACCGTTTACCTGGAGCTAATCAGCTATAGCCGGTAACGGAGCAGGCTCGATGTCTTATACAAATCAGAAATGTTCACATCTTGCCAGTCTACCTATATTTAATTTATTGGAACACTCACAGCAAGCAACAAAATCAAACAATTCCACTCCGAATGGTATTATCCATGAGCCAGCCAGAAATGAATTAATTCCCGCCCTGATATGCGAAAGTTCATTAACGCGAGTGCTCTGAAATCACTGCTATGGTCGCTGGGCCAACAGAATCAACAATCGTGCAAAACACTCAAAATAATACTTTCCAGATTAACACTAATTTTGTGCAAAAGCTGTTTTACATTAAGTAAACCGCATTGGACTCTTCAGCTACCTTAGACTTCAAAATTCAATCCAAAATTTATTCTCATCACCACTGAGAATTTATGATGGGTTGATTTTCGTGTGTAAATGCGTCATTCTCGATGATCCTATGTGCCTCACCGGATGCTTCATTGGATCTGCGTCGTGCGGGATGTTAAACAGGAGACCAAGAAAGCCCGTGTTCCAAGACGGTTACGTAAAGGAGATGATTTTCTGCACTTTTGGCAGCTTCGCGATTGCTCGTTACTCACAGCTATTCGTGCGTTCACTTAAGCCTACAGCTAACTGTCATAATCACTGGAGAATTTAGTGGATGTTTTAAGTTTGTTCACTCTCTTAAATCGTTCATTACTTTGCAGGTATGCGCTGACAGAGTTGATAGAAACCGAACGTGAATATGTCAAAGCATTGACACCGCTTTTGGACGCCCTCACGAGATTTGGTACACGAGTGACACTACACCTGGGGGAAGCAACTGAAGAAACTATCGATCTCCCAAAACCCCTTCAACAGTGTATCAGAAATTTGCGGGACAAGCTGAAGAAAATTATCGATTTCACGGAGAAGTACGTTGGAAACGGTTCAGTATTTTCTGTCCATCTGTTACGTTTCGACTTGTACCTATCGATCAGGTAGAGTGCTACGGAGGGTTAACCGTTTGTTTCAATTCAAAGCGAAAAATAACAAAATTCCTGAGGCGGTAAATATTTCTACCAATTTGTTGTTCACAGGGTTGTCACAACAAAATGCATAGTTAGATTTCTAACATCCAATAAGTGCTTTCTGATAGCAACTTATATATGGCTACCGCCTCTCTAATATTGTCGACTTTTGTGTTTTCTGAATGGTTTCTAATATACGGCTGCCAAGCTTACCTCCGAAATGGAACCCTCACCAAACAAAAGGTGGCCGTTTTTTAAATCGATTCATCGAGGAGATGCAGAATAATTTAGGGTGGTCAGTCGAGAGGTATTGTGTTCATTTTTAGACGTGTTTGACGATCCGTAATTTCAAATTTCAGGACTTCCCTTGTATCAAGGTGGCAGAAAGCCTTCATTGAAATGATCAGATCAAGTAAACAACTCGACATATGTCAAGATCCCGAAAGACGTGCGACTTACCACCATGTGCTTTTCGAAATTGAATGGACTGTGGAAGAGTTTCGTGCGGTTTAACGCATATGAACCAGTCAAACGTTATTGTGGCGGTAGAATCCAAAGAATATACGAGATGCACTCTGCCATCAACCCAAACTCGCAGCGGACTTGTGCTATGTTGGAACTTGAAACTGAATTGTTTTCGATAAGGCGTGAAGGTACAGGGGAGAAGCTGTATGTCGAATAAACCCGAAACACCTTGCATACTCAGAGATACCATACACAAGGAAGCCCTTAGGACTGCACTGTTGCAGTCCTTAGGTTGGAAAAACCAGCCTGCTTCTCTGTTGCGTGAAGTCTATTTCACCGTACTTAAGGCCGGTGTACGGTGCAAATAGATTAAACACACTGAATATGCGGCAAAATCACATAAATCTCACGTGCAACAGTGGAAAAAAAACAGAAATCTAGAGGGCCAAGCGTGAAGGTACAGGGGAGAAGCTGTATGTCGAATAAACCCGAAACACCTTGCATACTCAGAGATACCATACACAAGGAAGCCCTTAGGACTGCACTGTTGCAGTCCTTAGGTTGGAAAAACCAGCCTGCTTCTCTGTTGCGTGAAGTCTATTTCACCGTACTTAAGGCCGGTGTACGGTGCAAATAGATTAAACACACTGAATATGCGGCAAAATCACATAAATCTCACGTGCAACAGTGGAAAAAAAACAGAAATCTAAGAGGGCCAAGTAAAATCCTAAGGTTGAGGACCGAAGTAAATCTCGTCTGGAAATTATCAAACATTTGACCATTCCCTTAATATACCTCAAAACTCCTATGTGTATTCACATATTACATAAAGACCTTCCTCGACAAGCCTGTCTTGCCGTTAACTATTATGATAGTCCACTTTGGCGTCCATTAGCATATCAAGTTTACCCGTGAAGAATACGCACTGATGGAGAGACAATCCATACGGTTAATCAAAATAAACTGTTTGGCACCAGACGGACCGTAGTAGTGGAAATAATTTGGGTCAGATATTTTCATACAAAATCAGCTTGCGTAGCTCTAACCGACCTGAATTTTAGAAAAGGCTACATAGAACAACCTTTGGCGAAATCCTTCTGAAAGGACTTATATGGTCTGAAGGTTGGTTTTGTTTAAGATCACATAATCGATTTGAATTCCGCATTCTATTAGGTAAGGAATCATGTTCAAAGCGCCCACACCGGTCACAGTGTTCAAAAGTGGAATGAGTGATAGAAAAACAAATCTTTATTGGCTGGACAACAAGCAAAACACGTTCAGATTGGATATGATCCCTCTAGAAGACCAAGACAACTTAAATCAGTTGGCTATACGGATCGACCGCCAACCAGTCCTACATATTACTGACAGTTGTTCATCCGTCTATTTTTTTAAACATATTTATAAAGAATTCAGAGTTACATATTGGTGGAATCCGAATTCAATCACCCTATGCCAGCCAAAAATAAAAACAAACGTAAAAGGAATGAGTGAAAGAGTCGAAGCTTAGAACAGCACATGATCGATGGAATGTACGCACACCACAAACCAAAACCTGAGTAGTCTAGAAAAAATTATCATACCCCCCGACACTCCACGGTAGAGTGAGTAACAGTCTTCTAGACACTGATTAAAAAAATGCAATGTGATGTGAATACCGCTATTGCGGTAGTACCTTTGGGAGGACGTTTTCTGAAGAATTTCGAATGTTCACTTCCGACAAGAAGGTTTGACTTAAATACTATTATTCGCAATTTCTTGAGGTCTCACTACTTGCTTTCATCCAAACATTTGGGTATATCGAGGTGCAAACACAACAGACGGTGCCATGTGTCACTTGTATAAAACTGAGACATTGAAGTTTTATCCGAAGCCCAGAATTTCAGCTTGAAGAACAGATGACTGCTGTAGTGAATAAAGTGGACCTTGAATTGGAAAATGCCTTATTGTTCATTGAAAGAGAATCTGAATTTATCGGCGAGGAATTTTATAAGCCTCAATTCGTAGTGTGACAAGTTGTTGCGGCACCTGGGGAGATTGTCGATCCGCTCCATGACTTCCTGCTCACTTATAAGAAACTGTGGACATATTTTTGCCCAGACTCACTGTAATGCGGTTTTGCACGATAACATAAAAGACTTGGCATTACACTAGCCTTATAAATTAGGCGTAAATGGTATACTAAAATGTGAAATCTGACCAACTGGATACACCGCCAAAAGTATCACGTACAAATGCAACGTGATGAGGATTTATTCACCGCTTCGTCCAATCTTTGCGCCTTTATCTAACGTATATATAGTGCATACGTATCTTACACATGTTACTCATGTTGGCATGGCAGTCCAATACGGCAACGTAGATTATAGACTGTCTTCCAACTTTTCATTTGCTGCGCCGTTGTATCTTTCCTAGTGTGCCGACAGAAACAAAACGGTTCTCTGTACTTAAAGCAGTTTTGCCAACAGCAGTTCATCCCAACATGAATGTAACTCCTCTACACGTGACATGTTACTGACACTTTATGGTGTCATTAGGTCTAACAAGCTCTTCCAAATACCCACAACTTGTAAGGGTGGACCCTAAAAGGGTACAGTCTTGGTAATTTACCCTGCACGTAGTTCATGTACTGAATAATTTGCTGTTAACTTCGCGAAACACAAATAGTATATGCAGTATGCTATCGTGAACTTTGGTTGAAAAACCACGTTTTCGAACTGGTCACGAGTTTGGTACGTTATGAGGGTCATTTATCTTGGTTGTTTCATATTGAATCGATGTATGTTCTAAGAACAGTTGATATTGGGTCTTACCTCCAATATATTATTTTTAAAATAAAATTTATATTCATATATGCCACAAGAGACTCACTTCTGCAGACTTTCGAACTTGCACGAAATACTTTTTTAGTGTGTGTCAAAAGAATGGGAATAAACTTCATCCCAAAATCAATTTTCAAGTTGCAACCTATGTGCTACTTATGTTATGCACCGCAGTTAGCCCCTAGATTGGATTCTCATCTTCTAATTTGATAGTCAGAAGGGAAAATACGCAATAAAGAAAATACTCTGTATTTTCACAGTTTTGGTCCTCTTGATGCAACACTCATAGCATGAACAACAACAGTATTGTGGCTCCGAAATTTCATTCCCTTTCTTTCTGTTTGTTTTGTTTGCCCAAACTACCCGGATTTTTTACAACCCTCGAATGGCAAACCAATGGTTTTCTGGCTTATGTCTGCACCACTGCTACCGTTTTAAACAATAGGCCAATATCTTGCTTTCTGTGTCGTCAAAATTTTATTTTTTCCTCCATTTTAATTTTTCAACGATTATTAGTTCTTCAATAATAATGAGTAACTTGGCTGATCTCCCAAATGAATGCCGGCTGTGAAATTAAGTTCCGACCAAGCCACTTTATTTCGCTTTACCTGAAAATTCCTTATATGTATACATATATATATATACGTCTAATTTTCTAGCATAACCCACACATACATCAGGATGTTGAAATGTGAAAATCCATTTTCGCTATCCTCAGTCACAATCCCAAAATGCACACTTTCAATCATAACTCCGGAACCACGACGAAAAGTCTCAATCATCCAGCTCCTCCGACTACTTAACCACAATTTTTCACTCCATTGGTGAAATCCGCTTTTATATCTTATCGCTTCTTATGGCTCTAGTCGTCAGACAATCTGGACTTCCAATAAAGTCCCAGCCTCTGCTGGTGCAACTATTGAAGTTTTGTACGGCAGAACGATGCCAGCTATTCCTTATTCCTTGAGCAAAGAAAAATGGTTATCCCAAAGCCAACTTTTTCGAATTGATGCCATTCAAAATATCACCGATTCCACCACACTCATTTCGCTCATGCGGATGCTCCTTGAAGGAACATCGCCGACAAGTACTATCACCTAACACACATATTGAGATGATATCCTCCTGGGACTTCTCTCTTGCTACATACTTTTATACCCGCGTTTCTTAAGCTGCTACCAAATTGTTACCAAAGAAAAAAGCCACAATCGGTTCGCATCGGTTGGTATTTCCATGTGTCCAGGCGTGAATCCCCTTCCAAACGGGTAATTTAAGCCTGGCTTTTGATAAGCCTTGTTTCTCAAAATTCCTAAATACAAATTTGACTGTTTTGTCCTGCTTTGGAGTGCACTGCCCATGACCTGACAGAATAAACTTCACACGGTCTGTCATCCATCAGCGGCACCTTAGTAGAGCATAGCTGGCCTGTTTTAACGTCCAGAAGGCTTCCGATTGTTGGACATTGGACTCTTCGCCAAACCACACAACCACAGTTTGCATGCTCCACTGACTATGCAGATCAGGAATTTTCGAAATAATCATCTATCGAAAGCCCTCCTTGACTGCGCCGCCTTCCAGATCTATTGAGTCAAAGTGTGGGGTTTTTAGGTTTTAGTATTTTCTCTCACCAGTCTCGTCCTTTTCGTGAGCGAGCTAGACTTGCCCAGCTTTGGTCACATGCATGGTTTTACAAGGAATGCAGCGTTGAATCTATATGTGATTTAATCCAAGAAATTGGCTCCCTTCAGTTTGTTACTGGCTGGATGCAGACCATGAATGCTTTCAACTCCCCCTGTGAAAGGATTCTCAATTACAGTTTGTCACTGTTTCTGAATCTCTCCCTAACTTTTTTTTCTTAACTCTGTTTTAGTCTAACAAGAGTCCCTTATCCCATCTCTGATAACCTAGTTTTCCAACTGTCATTCCTGATCGTTCCTGACCATCTAAATGGTCACCTGGGCATCTTAAATAAAGAATTTCTTCGGGTCTTAAAAACACTCCGTCCTGTCCGACAGTTATTAAACTACAAATCTCGCGTTTGCCTTATTGAAGTTATCCGACTCCATTTGCCGTTTTTATTTCGCTGAATTCATAAAACACGTACGGGTTTCTGTGTTTCCCCTACATTGACTCATGATCTGTATTTGCTTCTCGTCGTAGTAGCATAGTCTTCCTTTATTATACCGCTGCGTTAAATATCGTTCGAAATTGGACTTTACAGTTCTACTTTCAAAAGCATTCATCCGTTTACCCCATATCTTCGTCTTCAGGTCTTACGCAACAAAGGGAAACTAGGTTCACAAATAATCTTCTGTTTCTTGTTTTTTCAACCTTCTACAACCTTTGCTTGTTCATATCTCAGGTCGCCGTTTATTTATTCAAAGTCATCCGGCTCTCCACTCGTGACTATTTAACATCTCATCGTGTGGCATCGATGTCGTACTTAACACTTTCGCACAACTGACGAAAATGCTACATCGTAAATATTGATGGATAACCCAAAACCAGTTATAACAAACTTTCCTTGCTTAATTATAGATTATATGACATGGAAATTAAACAATCCTCATGTGTGCTCACCATGGGTGTTTAAGCAATTAACCTAGTGGAAGCTTGGGTCGCTCCACATATGCCTGAATAAAAGAGAGCAATGACCACGTCATAATAAGCTTGCAGGAGTTGGCATTGTTTAGACACTCGTCATTTAGCTGGTGTTCAAGCGGAACTGAATGTAACTGTAGCAGGATAAAATCTGGACGTCATCGTTTTCAGTGTTGGGTTACAACCATGAGAGTTGGGGTCCCTAAAATCGTGCTATGTAATGAGGGTATCAGTAGTAAGCGTCTAACGATTACGAACTTGCTGGTATAACGGAGATCATGCGTGAACGAATTTGAAACTAGCTGCTCACAACGGCCTTCTGTTTTGTTAAACATATGTATTCTAAATTCCTTGTTAATTAATTTAACTATAGAAAACCCTGCGCATACTTCCAAGGTGAGACTGTAAACATACCGCTTAATTAATCACCATTTGATCTGGTGTCTTCCACGTCGACAAACCCAGCTGAACACACATAAAAAGCAACGGTCCGATAATTTTTCGATTAATATCATTAGAAGTAATGTAGTTACTCTTTAACGAGTCAAGTATGAGATCCCATTTTTATTGGTGACCACTCGCTCAAGTTACTCTAACTGTTTTTTTCATGTACTCAGGACACTGCTGGACGAGTTGGCCGCCTGCACAATGAATCCTCCTTCCGCAGCTGAATGCTTCATAAGAAATGTAAGTGAAGTATTATACTAGCAGCACCACAAATAATTGATTATTGACAAAAGTGGGAAGACTTTTCTAACTAACCCACTAATAAGTTCCTATCTCATGGCAAATCAGAGCCAACCTCATCAGGAATGTAAATTTTACTTGCGTAGATAAGCGTCCGAATATTTAGTACGAGATTCTAACAGAGGGGTCGTAAGTTTACTTACAATTCAGTGATTACCAGCTTTATTGTCCATTTGCGTATTCCTCTCAAAAACGCCCCTACATGCACTGAACATAATAAATTACTAGATCAAGCAACGATTCACAGTAAAACATAATACATCATTTTTCGGTTAAATTCACATTGAGTCTGACAGTGTGAAGAGTCAAACAGTCAAACAGAGTCTGACACTAAAGTACTTGAGACTCATTAAAGAATACTACTCACAAGGTTGCTGAAAACTCTTCGACAAGCACGATCGGTCTCAACTCTCTTGGGGCTCATCAAGTAGGCGCAATTCCTGAGTTTCTGTCAACCTTATGTTTTACTTGAACCCAAATTGAACTGTTTTCGAGAAATATACTCATTTGTAGATCAGTTTGGTTTTCACGAGGAGACTCAACTGAATCTCTCGTTTATAATAGTATAATATTATTCAACTGAATGTTCTGTCCATTCACTTTCTTCTCAAGGATCGCGTAATGTTGTAGCAGCAATAATTTCAAAAAATCAAGCATAAACTACATAACTGCCAGGCCATATGGAAACATCAGAGACTGATTAAACCCTGGGTCTATTACGGTTTTCACAGTCACGTTTCCAAATTATCGTTTTACAGGATACTTATAGGTGGGAAACGTACAACGGCTAACTACGGTCAAAACATGTTCGAAAATCAAGGCTTGATAAATATGAATGCATGTCTTTGGAAATTTCGAACTTGAAGGAGAATTATCACAAAATCTTAAAAGGCAGCTAGTAATGAGTTCAGCTGAATTGCTACCTTACACCTACATTTGCGATTTGTCAGCAATTTGTTATCTGTGGACTTCGCTCATTTGCCCTTCAAGGCTGCAGCACTGGAGCACTATTCAATCTATCTACTTCATTTGGACGCGTTCGTCAAACAGCTCACTCTGACCAATGGTCCTGACTCCGATGCGCTGTTTGTCCTACAGGACAGCTCTTCGCCTCCAAGGTCACCCACAGAAAATGGTGACAGTACATCAGCTCTATGCAATCAACGAAAAAGTATTACTTATAAATACCTGCTGGAACTTTTAAACCTGCCGAAGTTGCGACTTCTGGCGTATCGTGTACTGTTACGAGATGTAGCTCGTTACACGTCACAAGCAGGAGCAAGCACAGAGCAGCTAGAACACGGTATGACTGTTATTGCCCGAGCATCACGCAGAACCGAGGAGAGCTTGCTGTTTTGGACTAAGATCAATCAAACTACCTCCGAATGCGTGGAGTGGATAAACATGTATAAAAACAAACGTATCGGGAACTTGATGCCCCCAGCTCTGGTCCGTTTGGTAAGTTGTGAAGACGGTTCTGAACAGACCATCCGCTGTTTCATCATTTCTGCCGTGCATTATTAGTTCTTTTCTTTGCTTCGGTTACCGTGCACTTCGTTTATTTATCCTTACCTCTATCAGTTGTTTATGAGCCTACGGCGACCTGATCTATGTTAACTCCTGCTGTAATCCACCGACACAAGTACATCGTATACTGACCTCGTTGTGTACAAAACGATAATCTGGGTTGCTGCCCGTGGGAATAAGTTACCGTAGGCTGCTTTTCCACGAAGAAGGTTGATTTACATTTCCTTCGGTACCTTTTCTCACGCATCATTCATATGCCCATTCTGTTTTTCTCTACAAAAGTCCATCCCTATACAATAGTCCTAGGAAAACGGCTCCAAGTGTATTGTGAATTCCAGGCTCATCTAATTTTCCTCTTTGCTAGATACCATCCACAGAAAATGTTATTAAACTACTTCTGTTACAAGGCTGATGCGTTCTACCCGCTTTACATTTGCAGAAAAACTAAACCATGGAAACAAAGTAGAGTCTTGTCATTTTTTCCACACCAATTTATGCAAAGAAGATGATCAACACAGTTGCCATGGGCTCGAAGCCCAGCTGTCTCTTAACCGATCGCTCTACTGGGGAATGGACTATGATCGATTTCAGATCGTTGGTAACACAACGAAGTGTTCAAACGGTGACAACCTAAACAGTTTGAACAACATTGTGAAAACAGCTCTGTTCCAGGATAAATGCACTCCGCACAGCCTTGCCAGTCGCATTACTCTTAAAACAGAATAAACTAAGAAAAATTATAAGGCTAGTTGCATCGTCTATAAGAGGTGAAA